GAGAGAGAGCGTGAGAGAGAGAAAATGACTGTTGCTTCAAGATAGACTTGTTTTTGCTGTAATCAACGTTAGCGCTTATCGGCCATAAGAGAAACAATTAGTTAGGACGTACGCGCACTACTTTAGGCGAATCGTAAGTTTTCTTTTGAACTGTATAAACTGGAGAAATAGTATTAGAGCTGCGAGCTTCCATCAAGTATTTCTGCACGACATCAGCGAGAATGATAAACTTCGTCGTTAATAATATTACCCTACTTAACCCGCTTTACTTAAGCATATAACTATAACGCTTTGTCCGCCATTATTGCACAAATTATGTTATTATGTATTCATGGAAATGGAAATTTATAGAGCGTTAGATTAGGAAGTTGAGAAACGGCATGAACAATGCGTCAGTGATTATAATATATACGTTCGGCGAATGTCGAAGTTTACGTAAGTTGAGTGGCTTTTTACATTCCAGAAGGTAATCAAGGAAATATGTAAATGTTGCGTATCGATAATTTTATATATTACCTGAAAATAATTACTTCAGAGAGTTTACGTACGATGGACTTTTATTTTTTTCATTTTTAATCGACATTAATATTCTGGTGGAGCTCACCTTTATTCGCGGCTCGACGAATCATAAAGCGATACATCATGATCAATGCGCCGTAATTTTTTACAATTATGAATAAGCAATCACGAGAAGAATGTATGGGAATCAGATTGTATAGATACGCAGATAAAGGCGAATTCCGCGTCATTAGCACGGGATCGTGCCTTTTGAGCGGAATTACTGGCGGCACACGACACTGGTTCGCAAGTCCGGTCTGCCCATTACAAGCTCGCCCTGCTTGCCGGTCACGCACTGCATCCTGTTACATCACGTGCGTGCGGTATTGCATGTATGTTACTCGTTGCGTGCACGGCCAACCCTCGTTGCCAGTGTCACTATGTATTGTGATATCATGTTCATGTCGTATACGGACGGCCAAGTCAGATAATAACGTGTGCTCGGATCAAACGCTCTGCCATCCGCCGATTATTTTTGCGCGCGGTGAAAAGTATGCAAGTATCCCGCAATCTTTTCGTGCATGTAATAAAATTCGGACAATTAATTTTTCCTACATTACTGTTGCATGTTAACATTTTTGTTTCGTTTTTAGTCGCTGCACCACCAGATAGTATCTGTAATATCTGATTTCGCGAATATTGAAATAAAAAATAATCAATGCTCTGTTTTTAAATTTGAGAATAATAGAGAGATATATATACGATAAATATAGTGAATATTCAGATATCTCGATACGCAAATCCGCTCATGCAAACTATTTTTTTATTCATATCAAATATTAAAATATGTCCACATCAATCAGTCATCATTGTGCCCTTATCGTTATAATCGGCACAAAACTTCTTGTACGGTATCGTTAAAAATTTCTACTGTATTTAAATTTATACTCTCCTGTCACGAAACGTTCATTAACTCGATATTAATAAATTATACCATACCGTGTGTGATATCACGAATATGCACAAGTATCGGAAAGCTCGTGTCTCAATTGAAAAGCCCGATACCAAATGATACGCCGCGGTATTAACCTCCGGTTTATTTGCGACTCCCGTTTTGCTCGTCACAATGTACGATCTGTTGTCATCGTAGCTCTGACGGCAATCGTTGATTCCCTGCCAATCAAATCAATTAATATTCTATTTGCCGAAATGATCTGTCGATGAAAGCATGACGCCAGATCCTCGATTAAGTTCTTCGTTGAACTGCTGAAAGGAATCTCGCATTAATTAAGTATAACGCCATAGAAGCGTTTGGCTTTTGGTCCGATGTAAACTGACCTGAACAAAGGACGCGTTTGTGAGGATGGAAGAAGAGGGAAGAAGAGGTTATCGGAGAGAAAGAGAGAGAGAGAGAGAGAGAGAGAGAGAGAGAGAGAGAGAGAGAGAGAGAGAGAGAGAGAGAGAGAGAGAGAGAGAAAGGAGAGACAAGAGAGATCGCCGATCATCCTGGACTTTGTTGTTCAGTCGCCGAACATGGAAATCTCTACGATCGATCAATTGCTATGCTCGTGTTGTGCTGTTCATTACATAAGCATTCTACTCGTTCGTACGATCTACATGTTCGTACGTATTAATTAATTAGCAGGAGACCGTCAAGTATTTGCATCGGTAAAATAACAAATTGATCTTTTTTATAATTATATACGACGAAGTTATCATTATGTTCGACTGATTATTTAAAAGGTTATAATAATCTATCTTATGAATAAAAAAAGGAATTTTAAGCTTTTGATTTTGAAGTAAAAAATGGATTTTTCCGTCTATTGAAAGTTTGTAGTAATACAGATTTTATGGATTAAAAACTGAACTAATTAAACATTATTTCCGATTCACAATATACATTGCATAATTTATGTTGATATGTATATGTTGATTTAAATATTATATATTATTACTTACAAAATATATAACAAGATTGTGATTAGATATCGAATTGATCTTCAAGAATTTAAAGAATGTTTACATGCAGCCATTTGAATAATACGTTAAAGATAATAAATAATCATGTTTTCGAATTGCAACGTTGTTACGTATTTTGAACAAAAGATTGCTCGTCCATTATTACAATTTTTTCTTATTTGTTGATATAAAACACTAAATATCTATCTGTAGCTTAATTGGGTGAGCGTTAGAAACGATGAAATATAAATTGAATTACATAATATTCTTAATGTTTAAAAATCTTACTTTATTTTAATATAATTCTGAAGTGATGAAAAACACTGTTAAAAATTTTACTCCAATAAAAAGTATTTCTGTCATCTTTTATCATTTATTACTTCAGCTCAATACGAAGTTTCTTTAAAAGATAACTAATAGAACGGAGAAAATCTCGGAAAAACATCTTTTCTTCAGAAGTTCATAATTGCTTTAAGACTGCTTAATCTCATCTTCCATTTCGGTATTGTATTCGAGTTATTCGATAAGATCTTACGATCTATGTATCTTACAATTCTTTCCCGTGTTCGCAATCAATCTCATATCGCTTCTGGCTATGAGTCACTCGATATCATGATTTGCACATGAAATTGGATGCATCGATTTTTCGCGATACATCCATCGATATCGGTACTTGCGATATCCGATAGGACAAGTGCCGTGGGCGAACGACAAAAGTAGTCTAGATTAGAATTGGAACATTTAGATCGTGCGATATCGCTCGGAGGTGCCTCGCAAAGCTATACCGTCCATTTTGTAAAATCGCCGTCTATCTATTCAAGTCGGAAAATGTATTCAGTCGGCTAAGTGATTCGGTTGAATATTACTTTATTATCTTACTCACACACCTTTTGTTCTTCGCGTACATAAACCAAGAAGAAGAATAATTCCTCGAAATTACAGCTATTTTATCGGATTAAAGTACACTCACTTTTTCGTACAATGGAACATGAAAGTCGCTCGATTTCACCTCGCTATTAAGCGAGCGTAACGAAACGATTTCCATAAGAGAAAGTGTGCATTAAACGGCAGAAAAACGGCATTCAAAAGAAACCACCAAGATAAAGCTTTGCTTTTACAAATAATGTCTTATATACCATTATTTACAGCACAATAATGTTCCTTCCTTCATTCGCTGTATTCTTTTTTTTTCTTTAGTATATTTTTGCGTACGTTACGTTATACGTATATAATGGCACAAATTACAAACAAAACTATTATATAACAATATATTGCTTTTCACTTTATCACGAAATTTAACTTTATCACCTGACTTTAATCAGACACGATAAAGAAAAAGCAAAAAGAACATCTAACATCGCTAACTCTTTGCACATCATGTGATAATAAGATTAATTAGTTGATGTAAATGTCGAGTTTATACCTTCGAGCATTTATGTTGTTTATTTCATGGAAAAATATAGCTAGAGGCAATTTACAGTGATAACAAAACTCAACCATTTACAGTACGGTATTCGTTTTTCGAAGGATGTTTGAAATGGAGTTTTATATTTAGAAATATGAACAGAATATTTCTTGATATTTTACTGGATAAATAGTGTAAATACATAAATCTCGCCATGAGAAATGGATAAATGGCTAATACTTTTGCAATGAAGCGTATGTTTATGAAGGGCTTGTTTTAGACTCAAAACCTAGGTTTTTGCTTGACATAGAAGCTTCTGAAAACTGTTTAGTAACATTGTCTTTACTCAAAGCGTCCCTCGAATTGAAAAAGAAAA